TGTTATATAGTAAATAATTCATTCTGAAAATTTAAAGATTCTCAATTTTTTGAATTATAGCTTTATTTTTGTCCTTATAAATTAATTTGCTCTGTGAACAGCTGTCATCATGAACTTTGTACCTTTTTGCTGTCCTACTATTAACATGACAGTTTTGTATTTTCTTACTACATTAGGTTGATTATATATGCATATGTTTTTGCATAGTATATGCTTCTTTATGTTTACAGATGTGAAGTATATTTTTAGATTAATGATACAAAGCTAAGAAGTATGCAGAACAGATTTTTGTAGCTGATACTTGGTTTAAGTAGGGCACAGTCTGTTTTCTCACATACCTAAAGTATTACATTAGGTGGGACATATCCTGCTTGATAGCATCTTTTCTCATACTACTTAGGGATTAAATAATATGTCAAACTCGGAGATGTGGTCTGTGTTAGAAAATAGGAAAGAATTATTCAATCAGTATTTCTCAACTTCAGAAGATACATTTTTGTGCAAGGAGCTTTTGAGAATCCCTGTGAGAGTTTTCAAACTACGCAGGCTCTCTTCATCCTCCCTTTTTTCCTCAAGATTCTGATACTTGCATGGTTGAGAATTGCTAGTGAAAGAGCTTCTGGTGCTGTACTCATGTGAGAGTGTCGAGTCCTTCGAGAATGCAGAGTATGAAGGGCTAGGGTGAGAAGGGCTAGGGCTAGGGTTTAGGGCTAGGGTTAGGACAGCCATAGTTGTTTTACTACTGTACTTATTTAAATTTTAAGAATCTCAATGTTCTAATAATTAGAATGAAACTGAGTTTCATCTAATAATTAGATGAAACTGAGTTTTTGGGATTAATTCAGCAATTTTTATTGACATGTCATCTAATTGAAATACTAGTTGTAATTTCAAAACTGATTTAAACACCGTATGTCTAAAAAACATTGTATATTGGGAAAAACATTGCTTTCTACTCATTGAGCCTCATTGTTTCTTCTCATTGTTATGAAATGAAAGTTGTTTTAGAGACCCACTTGGTCTGACTCCATTTTACTTTAGGAAACTAAGGACTCATTCACATCAGATGGCTTGTTCTCAGCTGCATGCTCTAAAAGTTCAAGCCGATTCCTTGGTACTCTATTTGCTACTAAGCTGTATATTCAACTTTTCCAAGTCATCAGTTATAATTAATTTTTATTCATTTTTACAATGACATAAAATATAGACCCACTTCAATATTGATAAGTATGTGCCATCTTTTATCCTCTCAGGTAGAACATGAGAAATATTGCAGCCAATACCACTTTGCTAGGGAACAGCGAAGAATCCTGATAGAAAACTGGAATAAGAACAGGAAAGACTTCATACGGAAGGCAGTGATGACCCTCTTGGAGGCCTCTACCACTTATGATGTGGAAATCTCATTGGCCAAGGACAGGAAAAGGCAACAGGATTTGTGCGCTGACCTCAGAGCCAAGGTAAGGTGTTTCTTGGCTGTTTTTCTATTTGCCTAGGTATGCACCAAAAAACCTACTTCTCTTCTGTTCAAATCCAATCTAAAGTTTGGTATCTCTGCAAAGCCTATCTTAAATAAAACTGTTTGCTTGACCTACATAAAAATTGTAATTCTTTAGTCCCAATATAGTCTACAATTGACAGTTTCATAAAGTTCAACCTAAAGTTACTATAACAGAATGTTAACATTGAAATTTGTTTTGGCTTTTTAAAATTTTATGAAAAAGTAAAGCAAACTTTCATAACAAAGTCATGAGAGAATAATAATAGTTAATATACTATGTGTCATTGCCTTCAAAGTAGTTACTACACTGAGCTTTTGATGGAAATGTTCAAAACCCACCATAAAGGCTCCAGACTGGAGTTGGACTCCATGCGCCATTACAGAATGTGTCATCACATAACTAATTCTGAGTCAAACATGTGCTCATTCACATCAGAGATATGAAAAAGTCAAGTTATAAGAAAGGAAAAAGATTTGTGTGAAGATATGTAGGCACAAGCTTGCTGGGCTGTGTGTGAGTATCAACAGGTCTAAGGGAACAGATAAGGATTTCCTTCTTCTCAGGCTTGGGAAGGGGGCCTTGTGAGTCACCCTTAGGTGGAGGAGTTGAGGGCTGGTTTCTGATGCTTGTGGGGAAATACAGAGGAGCTGCCTCAGTGGCAGAGTGAAAGCTAGAACAACAGCTGTGTTGGGAGCCAATGCTGGCCTCAGACTGGCCACAGGTGCCAGAATCTTGGAGCCCTGACACTCCCCTAGGACTGTTGGCCACGTCATTAAAACAACAGGTATTGAGGTACAGCATAAAGTGCACAGTGGTGCACAAACCTTTGTTTAATATTAAATGATGTGGTAGGAGAATGATGGCACACCAAGAAAATTTATTCACTTTATAGAAAAAAAACAAGCCGGCAGACATTATCATGTAGCAGTTAATATGTAAAAATAAATGCCTCTGTTTTAAAACACAAAAAGAAAACTGCTTGCTCTGTCTGATTTTTTTTAAGTTATTTCTTTTCACATTTCATAAGTCTGGGGCCTACAAGGCATAGAAGTTGCACTGAAGCTGATCTTACCACAGGCTACTGTGCTACTGCATCTTTCTCTTCCATCTTAAACTGATATGATACACAGGGTCATTACAAAGTCTTGTACTACTAGTCAGTTTTTACTCAGTTTTCATGTATTAATATAAGAGCTATCTGCAAATATATATTCTGTGTTTTATGTTGTAGTGTGTTGTATTGCATTATGCTGTGTTGTACTGTACTGCAGTAACCATATATGCAAGAAAGTGCATAGTACGTGAGTATACTATACTTACATGAAGCTTTGTTGCTCTATACCCCCTTGGAGATGAAGATGTAGAACATTTTCTGCAGCTCAGAAAGTTTTCTCATGGCTCTTCTTAGTACAGATCACCTTAGTTATTTTTCTCTCTGCAGCAAAATACCTGACACCCAAATTTAAGTGGAGGTGGGGGGAGATTCATTTATTTAGCTCACAGTCTATAGAGGGTTTCAGTCCATACTGGCTTCAAGGTAGGACAGCAGTTCGCAGAGGGGCAACAGTTCATAGAATCAGAAAACAGCAAAAGTAAGCAAAGGTTGTATGCAGACTACCTTCCCAAAGGCAGGTGTCGCTTCCACACCCTTCATCCTGGCACTGGACCAAGAAACAATAACAAACTGTAGATTCAACCCTCTCCCCCCATGACCACCTGCGATTTTGGGGAAGCATCTAGAAACAGACTGTAGCATTACCTTCACCTGAAATCACTTGTGTGACTTGATCATAGATGAGTCTGTTCCAGAACTTGATGTAGATTAAGTCACACATCGTAACTATTTTATGCTTCCTGTGGTCAGCATATCTGTTTCATCATATGTTGCCATCATGCATTCTTTTCATTCTTGTGTAGTGTCTCATCATTTACATATTATGCAATTTATGTTTCCTGTTAATGAAAATTTGCATTCTATTATGGGGGCACTCTGAGTATTCTTTGGTATGTCATTTAAATAGGCATATGCTCTCATTTTGGTTGGGCAGATATGCAGGAGCAGACCTGCTGGATCATAAGGGTTAGGTGCATTTAAGTGTCACAAATATTGCCAAAATAATTTCCCAAAGTGGTTATGTATGTTTGCTGACAGTTTCTTTTTGTTTGATTTTGGTTTTTTGGTGGTACCAGGGATCCAACTCAGGACCTTGTGCTTGCCAGGCAAGCACTTAGTCCACTGAGCTATATCCCCAGCCCTTGCTGGCAGTTTCAGTTGCTACACATCTTCAGCAGCTTTGGGACTGTGACTCCTTAATTTCAGCTACTCTGTTGGCTGAGCGGTGAGGCTGTATTGTGCTTTCACTTGCATTTGGAGAAATGATGCCAAGTCCTTTTCATTATTATCCTATCAGTTAGCCTCTTTTGTGCTGTGTCCACTCAGTCTCCTGACCATTTTTCTCTTGAGTTTTCTGCTTTTTTCTCACACATTTGTATGTTCTTTACATACTCTGCATTCAAATTCTGTATCTTTTTGCCTGCTTCCAGTCAGTGGTTTGTCTCTTCACTCTTGATGTCTTTTTTTTTTTTTTGGTACCAGTGATCAAACTCAGGACGTTGCTCTTGGGGGATATGCGCTTATGCCACTGAGCTGTCTCCCTGACCCTCTTGATGTCTTTAGATAAAATAAATTTTAATTAAGTACTGTTTTTTAGTTAAATGTCTTTGAGGTATATATAACAAAATTACCCTTTTTAGTGTACAGTTCCATGAGTTTTGCAAATGCACATAATTACTACTATGGTCAAGATTTAGAAAAATCCCATTACCCCTCAGAAATGTTCAGCCTTACATGCACTTCTAGTTCTTTTGAAACTGCTTATGTTTTTCTCTCTCTATCTTTTTGGGTATTTTAAAATGCCATCCACATATGACTATAGAGATTACAGGGTCTTCAGTCTTGTTTTCTTCATTTGTTATGAGACATGGAAGATCCAGTCATATCCATGTTGGGCTTGATAGTTAGCTTTAGTTTATTGTGGAGCAGTTAGCATTTGATGATATGGATACTGTACATCACAGTGGATCCACTACCAGTTGTGCCTGACTTTTGGTAATTAGTGCTGCTTTCTTATGGCAGGGTGGGCTTCAAGCTCTTCTGTGAA